ATAGCAAGTGGCCAAACGAGAGTCAAAAAAACGAAGTGGTTGAAGGAAAACACACCTGCCTGGGTGCGGGCAGTGGAAGGCCTCAATTTAAACTCGTTGCCGTTCGTCGCTTTGGTAGGAGTGCCATTGCTGTAGTAATGGACACACACAGACCGTCGTAAACTGAGTTAGAACGGCGCAAGCAGAAACTGGGAAGTGCCGAGTCGGTTTGCACGTGTCCCCGTTATCTCTTTCTTTGGCTGTGGAAATGCGGTTCACAGAGGAATAAAGGCTTGATAGTGATCGAATGCTGTCTCATTTGTGCTTTCGTCACACTCTGAGTCGTAGTGTCCAGTTGGCTGCCGCAGGAGGACCTGTGAGGGCCTTTCGCCGCTGCTGCTAGGCGCTTCATTTCCTGCTGCTACTGAAGTAGGAGCTGTGGCAGGAGAAGGATTCATGGTATTCAGAGTTGCTGGATCTGCTGCCAGCAGTGCGGTCTAAGCGCAGCTGCTGCCGAAACTGGGTTGGATTAGAGCACCACTGTCTTGGCATAGGAGGGACGGCGACAATGTACATGAAAGAAGCGGTGGCCTTACACACTTAAATTTGTCAATTTGAAAACATAAACGAAAAATGCAATGAATGGTAGGTAGGTAGGTATGCAGCCGCGAAGAGTCCGCGCCGTCCTGGGCTTAATCTGGTCGGTGATGCGATCGAGTCAACTGAAGTATGCAAGCAAAGAGCAGGATCAGCAAGTATGAGGTGGGCCTAAATAGTTGGTCTGCTGCTGTTTGTGCTCGAGAATATTGACACGAAGATTACTGAGGAAGGCTTGGACACAACGCGCAACCGCGATCCGAAGAGTTGCAGCTTCTGGTGACTCGGCTGCTTCTCTGCTATCTCCTCCAACTCTTCTGTTACACGTTTGATGGTGAAGTAGATGAAATCTCATATAAGTATTGAGCTTCTTTAAAGTCGAAAGGTTGAGAAGAGCCTTTTGCGTTTTGTTCGAGTGCGTAACGTTGCTATTGAGGCCAGTGGTAGGGCCGCTGTGGTGCCGTACTTCCAAAACGTCTTTGCATACTCCTCAGGTGTAAAAATTCATTCAAATGACCAATTAAGTGCAGTTGGCAATGTTCAAAGAGGGACAAATGAGCATTCCAAGATTTGCAGACAAGGAAGCCTGGAGACAGCACAGAGTCCACTTTAGCTTGTTTGCCGACCTTATTGCCAACCTCCGTTATTGTGTTTGCCCTGACTCCAGCGTGAAGGATCAAAAGTTACACTAAAACATTAACAGGCAATATATGAGATCCACTGCTTGTAAATGACAAAGTTGCCGAGAGCCTGTATCATCAGCGTATGGAAGCAGTGTTAGAGGCCCGTACTTGATGCAGTAGCATTCAGCTCTACTTTCTTGTAGGGCCACTTGGGCACTAATTAATGTTCTTTCTGCTTTAATCATGTTGAGGTGACCCTATCGCTATTGCTTGACCGGCCCTTTATGAAATTATTCACTAAGTAGACCACGGGCCCTGCCTATCAGTTGGGGGCAGCTCCCAGAAATAATGAAGCACGCTAAGCTCTTGTTATGAATTAAAAGTTCAAGGACCACTTATTTTGGTTTACAGAAGTACGGAACACCATTCACACGCACCAATAATACTCACCACGGATGTACGGAGCACGGGGAGCATAGGGGACGAAACAGTCAGTATCTTCGGTTCTCAAAGGCCAGGGATCCGCAGATTTTCTCTCGAAAGCAATATATACGCCGGCAGGAGGACGAACTCTCACACAGCCAAGGAACATGCACAGAAGATGGCCTACTCCCCATGAGATCTTGTGCTGAGCGTCCACCAGTCACACGTCCTTAATTTTCTTTCTCATAGTAAGTGATACTCGTAAACCAAATTTGCTGCCACTAAAGAATGTCGTCAACGCATCAAAGTGAGATTTCCAGATGTCGTTCTGCCTCGTGGGCAGTCCAGTCCTTTCGCCAGATGACCAAAAAGGACGTGGCCGAGTCAAAGTTTCGCCCGCTGCACAGTGATGGCTTCCTAACTTCCCCGTTATTGCAAGAAGCTTCTCCACTGCCCACGATAAAGATACATTCTTCAGGAAATCAACCCAGTCTAAGCTGCTATCATTCTGCAGTAACCCGTTTAATAAAGCTACTTAAGATGCCATCTTCCAAGAAGACTTTAAAGGTTTGACGAACAGCCTCTCACGAGGTAGGTGTAATCATACCCATGCTCTGCAGTGCGTCCTTTTCTGAATTACCATCTTCTCACATAACGACTTGAACCACAACTAGGGCACGCACTCTCTTGCTATACGCATAGCACCTCGTTTCGCACCATCGTAACACTCGACTCTATCCTTCAACTCTGGGATTTTTCGTATCTCTATTTAGACTAACGGTGGCTGGCTCTTCCCCTCGACTTCTCACTCTGGATGCGCTGTGCAATATTGGGCCGCTGATCCTGCCGATTCATCTAGGGCTGTGGCCGCTACTTTCCGTCTGATGAAACCTCGATGGCGCTGGGGCCTGTCACCACGGCTCATATCATTGCTTTTCACTATTCCTTTATTGCATATATTTGCTCTGTTAAAAAGTACTTCGCTTCCGTCTCGTTGGTCCCCTGTAGCGGCCTGTTTTTTGGCTGAAGGGCTCTAAAGAAGCTAACAAAATCACCAGTATCATGCGCAGTTTTCCCACGCTTGCTACCTGGCCTTTTCACTCGTCAGGTCCTTTCAATACGAGAGCAGCACAGAGAAATGGGGGCGTAGCCCCCTTGCACTCGAAACAGGTGTACCCATCCCCAGTCTTCACCTCCCGTTTGTAACCTGCCTCACGTCTTTGCTGAGTCTCTCCGTCAAAGACTCCCACTCATTGGCACAGATCTTGCTTGTTCAATAGGCTATGGAGTTCTCACTAGTGTCTGCAGTATCTTGTGCCTCAGATAGACTTAAGGGTATCGGCCACCTCTTGCAACGAAGTTTGTGTCACCAGCCCGGCGTGTTAAAGCAGATACCGCAGTATCAGGCAGTGACGCCAAAGTACTGAACAAGCTTGCCTTTTGGAGGCGGCTCACATTGACCCAGCATAAAGGAGAACTTTGCTGGGTAGTGAACAAGGCCTTTCTTCCAACTGGGACGTGGGGAATAATCTGACGTTGGGTTGTGCCTGGACCCATTTCAAGTCGTTTGAATTAATATTTGAAACATTTATGAGGAACCAGCACATCTCAATTAGAACCCACGTCTTCCTGTCCTGCATCTAGACCAAATGCAATAACTCCCCCATTGCTGCATTGGTTTCGAAGACGTAAACAGCACGGTTGTCCGGCTTCTGTTGTACTGCTAGCATAGTGCTATCACTGATTTCTACTCTGTCATCCTCTTATGCATGTGACTTGAGAGCGAGAAAATGAGTCCCTCCACTCGTGGAATTCTGCAGTTTGACTTTATTTTCCGGCCGCTCGTAGTGCCTAGTCCTCACGTGCAGCATCTTCTCGCTGCGTAGACACATTTGAGTACACCCATTCAAAGCGTCTTATTCCAAAACGTCTTCTTCACTTGGTTCTTATGTGCGGGTTGCGTACTCAGAAACACATCCAGGGGCAGTGCCCAACTGTAGTGAGGCAAGCCCACACCGGCTTGCAGATACAACCGTGTAAAACACTGTTCCAGAAACCTGAGCTGCACTGCATGCGTCTAATAAGGCAGGACACACTCAGGAGAAAAATACGGGGTACGTCATACAACGTGACATTTTAAAATGAGAAACACCTTAATTATGTCGCCTTACTCTAAGGAGCAAAACGCTTTTTCTAAGCTTCTATGGTTGCTAAGCCTCTTAGCAGCCTCTGCCAGAGGCCTTGCAGCTGGCGCCAGAGGCTTGAAGGACTCTTAGCATCCCATTGTTTTTTACCTTCCATAACACATTTATTGCTTATGCTTGTGGAGCTTTTTCCGTAACGTTTTTTGCAGTTTTCGTACCCCACTATTATGCCTTGAACTACTCCATATCCCGTGTTCGGCATTAAGACGTCACTTGGGTCCCTGGCGCACGAGTTGCTTGTAACGGAAGCGATACTAAGTTTTAATTGAGCATTGACACATGTTTACTGCTTTTCTGACTCCAATTTTTCAAATGAAGGCATCAACAGCAGTTTTCCCCTCCGTAACTCTGGCGGGGGACGAAGACTAATCATAGTCGCCGGGGGCCTCCTTCTGCATTGAATTGCTGCGGTTTGCCTGTACCAGACTAACGTAAAGACGGGAAGAACTAGTGCAGTCCATTATGTTTATAAACTGACTCGCGCACCGGCCTAGTCAATCAATGTGCGATTTCTCGCGCTGCGGCAGGCGCTGCGGCAGGCGCAGCATTGTGGAAGGAACATGCAAAACAGCTGAAACAATCATTTCATATGCATTGATATTGGTTAACATGGCCCAAAATTAAACCACGTGCATTCGTCCTGTGCAAATGGAAGCGAGGGAAGATGTTCATGTGGCACTTCACTCGGGTCTTCATTGATGCTTGCAATCGCAAACTTTTGCACGAGGGGAGCCGCTGCAGCACTAGGAAAGATTCGTCTCGCCCTGTTACATTCGAGACTGACAAACATCGGAGGCTTCTCTGCTGCGCCACCAACTGAAACCTGTTCTCCGCTTCCGCACTGATGAATCCGACGCAAAAGCTGGCTTCAACATGGGGCCTAGGAAGTGTTCGGTTTCTGCATACTGATGCAGCTTTCATTTGCCATAAAGTCCCGCGCGAGTTTGGCTGTGGCTTCCCGCAGCATCTTGCGACTGGAGAGCTTCGTAGCTACAGCAGGCGTGTGCATCGTGTCTTCACCTCCACAAATAGTCAAGCCTCTGGTGCCTGCGAGTCAAACGACGCCATGCAAGCCGACCCAGAAAATGCGAGTATTGAACCACTTCTAGCTCCGCATGTTGACCCCAAGAAGGCGCACAACAGAGAGCGTGGCGACTCACCTATCACTGGCAATATGGCAAGACCTCAGCAATCTCTGTCTCCGAAGACTAGCTTTCCTCTACTCACAGCCGCATCTGCCCGTGCCGGGGAGGTGCTCGACGGACAAAGGAGCAGTGACACGATTGTACCTGCAGCGCAAGCCCTGGGCGATGCTGTGGGTGCATGCACCAGAGCCGCATGCGATAAGCCTCTACAGCTATTACCGGAGCCTTCAACGCCTGAAAAACTGGAGAAAGAGAGAGGCAAATGACACCTGACTAGTTCTACTTTACATGCTCCTCGAGTAATAGTTTGCCAGCAGCCGCCAAAAGTTTACCTCTAGTTGTGCATTGTCATCGATGTGTACGTAATTGGACCGACAGCACGATGACGTATGCGCTCCCTCATTCTCTGCCTGCATTGTTGCAGAGGCCGCAGGCCTATCTGTTTTTCGCATCGGCTCCAACAGAACAAAATCAAGCAAAAATCAAACTCCGGATTCGTCTCAAAGAGTCAGTCGACTACTGCAGGGGCTCTGCGGCTGTTCCTGGCCCTCGGCACAGAAAATGCTGCGCCGCAAGGAAGCCTTTGTAGTAACTAAGGACAAGTGAGATCGTCAGCCGGCGCTTGTGTACACACTACATTTTAATATGGGTTTAGTGTTTGCGTGAGGTGTGTACACTGTACGTCATGCAGCATACCGCACTGTGGTGCACTTTGTCAATGAAGCCACACTTCTTAATATTCTTTCGGGAAGTTTAACGATAAATCTGCATCCGCAGGTACTTTGTTAGTATGCTCTTCTGCGTAGAACTTACATCCGTGGACGGTTGCGATTACGTTCCCTCCTATTAACGTACATGAACAAATCCCGTGCAAACACAATCAAACGCAGAATTCGTTTGTACTTCTCTTCGCACTATTTACATTGTTTCTCCATATTTTTTGTATTTTGCACTGCTGTCTATTCCTAGGTGCTTCGGTTGTTTCTCTGGTCACTGCTACTGCTGTTCTTGGTTGCACTGGCTAGTTGCAGTTGCATTCGATGCTTGCTTGCAGAAACGCGGGAGAGCACCTCCAACAAATAAGAGATACGAAGAGACGGAAGCCCATTCCTATGGGCACGCGGCTTGAGCCAGGCGACTGCCTGTACTTTCCCAGCACTAACAGCATCTCTGACAGCAGCAGTCTAGTGTGCAGACAGCAGCAGCAGAAGCAACAGCAAAAGCACAGGGAACTCTTGCTGTTTTCAGACGCAGATTTTGTAGTGGTCAATAAGCCACATGGAGCTCCACTAAAGAAACTTGCAGTAGGTTAAGGAGCCATCAAGGGCCTGCGCCCCTTACAAATTGCATTTGCTGCAAAACTAACGGAATGATTGTGTTTCCTTCCCCAGAAGGTTAGCTATGATTGTCGTAATTGGACTCTTGCACTGCTTTTTTGCTGTAGCGTGAGCTGACGGCTTTCTTAGAGGATACTTCGGGCGCATCTGCAGGCGCAGCAGAGGTACCATTATAAATAGCATCGCTGTTAAATTTGTGCAGCACCACAGTTAAACATTGGCCTGCAACAACAGTCAGATCTAGTCACCACCACCATACACAATGCTGCCTGTTTTATGAGTTTCTTCTCTCTGCCTTGTTTATCTCAGCCCTTAGTGCCTTTGACTGGCCACGATCACCACTGCAGCGGAGCGGTGCTGCTGTGCCGCAGTCGTTCTCTGGCATCAACTATGCGCACGTCAATTATTGAGTAAAAAGAGAGATGAACCACAGTGCATACCTACAGAAGACTTCCTCGCTTTCACGTCACTTTTTCTGAATTGATTGCTTTTCTTTGATGCGCCTCCTGTCTTCAGTGTGTCGTGGCTTTACTATTAGTTTCCCTACTGCTAGAATTAGTATTGTGGGTATAAATATCAGTGTCATCGTTGTTCACTTCGTTGGGCGTGTCCTCTGACCGCAGTGGGGGGTTCGGGACTCAGAAGATTCTTACCATTGTAGAGGGGAGTCCTCCTGGCAGCAGCGGCGTTGTGAAGATTCCTCTTAGGCTGGACCAGGTCCGTTCAAAATATACCTATGCCAAATCTGGTTGTCTGGTTGTCGCTTCGGCTCACCATTAATCCCCTACTTGATGTATTGCAACTGCATCTGCATCAAGTTTGTTTGCTCTTCTTTGAATTAGTACATTGGATGAGGCCTCTGCGCTGTTTGGTGTTTTTAGACAGTTGGCGCTGCGCTACCATGCTGTACGCATTTAGGAGGTTCCGCTGCGGTTACGCAGTGGACGGTGTTGCGCACAATGAAGGCATCAGTTGATAGACACGGTGCCTATAACCAGCCGAACAAGGGCTTGTGGGGGCCCATGAGGAGTCCGATATGGAATGACAGGCAGCGGATATCAGTGCTGCTTCTAGAGACCGAACTTCGGCTATCGCGCGACCAAGTCCGCGCTCATTGCGCATTTGGTGGGAGCTGTATCGAAAGCATCGGCAGCAGCGGAAGCTGTAGCAGTCGCTGGCTGTTTTTAAGACCTAGCAGTCCGTCGCTGCTGGGGCCGACTAAGCCGAAAAACACTGACAGAAGTATGCAAGAAACAAATATACTGTGTTATTGCTGCGTGCAGGTCTGCGCTGTCCGGTGAAAGGCGACCAGCTGTATACGCAGCTGCTGAAGATGTGGCAACGGGCCGAGCAACAGCAGAAATGTTCTTCGGCTGACGCTATCCCAGAGAAAAGCGATGAAATGGGAAAAGAACAAGCAAGAGAACGGGTGACACTCCCGTTGCATGTTGCGCAGATAAAGTGGAGGACGCTCGCAGGTAGGGCATACGGCGTAGCTCTAACTCGACATTGCATTCCGGGTAACAGCGACGAATCGCAATAGCTCCAGTAGGAGCTATGTACGAATCGTCGATTCCCACGCAGGCGTGCAGGGCCCCAACGTGTACCAGTTAAAGAGACAGATATAGACGGTGCACAGTGCATTGCACCCACCGAGTACAACACTGCAAATTGTGCCGTTCTGAACTCTACGCAGGAACAGAAGTAACGGTGTCCGCTCCAGTAGGCGATTCTGCCTGCGCCGAATTTAAGGCCTGTGGGCTTTCCTGCGGAGTGAACACTCCGAAGTGGTTGGCTCTTTGAGAAGCTGCATATGCAAATTATTCAACTTATGCACGCGGCAAGATTACTAATTAGATGTGTAGACAGCGTGCTGCTTACAGGTACAAGTGCCTAACTTGGATGCATAGGAACAGTGATCACTTGGGCACACAACCATTACATTCAGCACGAAACATCACCTCTGTAGACTACTGGCGTGACCCCACTAGCCGTAAGCGCCTGAGACGAAGTGGCTAAGAACAGCTTGCAAAGGTAAGCTGCATAGCTCTAAGCGGGCACTACTTCTAGGGTAAAGAGCGTGTGACACCGCAAATGCGCTGTCGACGGATCTCAGCTTTCGCCTCAGAACTAAAGGCGCATAGTTCCATCGGTCAGACTGAGCTACACCAGTCAGTTAGTGCCGCGACTTTCGCCAACAATAGGTGCATGCGGCTATACTAAACTAAGTCCGAATTCTGTCTTAGGTACTCCGTTTCCGAATTCAGCTCTGGGAATCCACCTGCTGCACCTGCTTGCAAATTATCGGTATGGAGCTGAAGCTTATTCCTACTGACTTCTAAATGAGTCATGCTGCTGCTAAGATAGAACTTCCAGTACAGCGCAAAACTTTTCGCTTGCACGCCGCATCATGAAATACGCAATAAATGAAAACAACGACTCGGCTGCCGCTGAGTCCGGACGTACGCACGCGTACTTCCGTGCACACTTTGTGTAGACGGATGCATGCAGTTACGCCTTTATATATATATATATATATATATTATATATAGGTAAACTCTATATATACGTATATATACATACATTGCAAAGCCAGACCCGAAACACTCCCACCCGATTTCAACACCGAGGGCGCCCAAACAGTCTGGCATGCATTGCTTCGAGCAGTTGATACGAGACCTTTTGTGCATCTGCAGGTCCCGATGATTGTTCGGGCCCTCTTAAACACTTGTGGAACCCCAAACCACCAACACAAGCGGAAACTTCGCGCCGGGCACAGACAGCAGCGCCTGATCATGGAGATCTGATGCTGCCGCTGGTAGTCACTAAGACGAAGTGTTCAGGCACCGCAGGGCCTGCACATCTCTATCGTCTTCCTCTGCCTCCCCTCATGTCCCGTTCATCATCTGAGTAGTCGCGACGGCGTGGACTGCAGCACATGAACGCACAAGGCGTGCAAAAGCGGCGAAAGCTCCACCCCCTTGAGCAGCCAAAAGCTTGTGGTTCACTGCTTCACTGGCCAGATGATACGTTTATCTATCGTCATGTGGGTCCATTACCTGTAGGACCGCCGTCGATCGATGCTACGGCTGCGGCCCCTGCGGCCTCTGTAGTTGTAGTCGCTGCCTTCACTACTATATCCGGGACTGCAGCAACGCGCGTGCACGCACTAAACAACAGTTTTAAAAGCTCCCATTGCAAACAGGATACGTGGAACACTGAACAGAACGCAGAACAAGTAAGCAGCTGCTACTATCAGTTACCTTCTGCGAATATCACGGCTGCGCGGGCCGTCGGGAGAAACCCGCCTCCTCCTCCCGCCCGGACTTGCTCTTCTGCCTTTGGCTCCAGGTCCCTTGGCAATCTCTACTCGCAGGCTGAGGCAAGCAACACAGTGTACATGCACCTGAGTCTACGCTGAGGCGGCGGTAGGGCTTCACCATCTTATAACCTAACAGCTTTGCCTGATCGAGCAGGCCACAGGCAGGCCAGTCACTTGAGCAACTCTGCCCCACGGCGCAAGGCCGAATAAAGGCCTAATAAGCAAATCGTACACAGTGAGTAAACACCGCGTAACGAAGTCGCCGATAGCAAACACACAGGAACAATAAACACGAAAAAACAGAATGCACACAATCATGGTCCCCTCGCGTTAATATGTTTACCCGACAACAGAGCCGCAGCGCCGCCGCAGCCGCAGAGAAGTGAAAACGAAGACAGCAACAGGAGGCTGCTGCTGCAGCAACAGCTGGTGCAGGGTAGGGGCAGCAGCGAAGGGTAGAGTCGAAACGCAGGGAAGCGGCGAGCCTACAACGACCAGAGGCACCTCCGCATGCAATTGATTGAATTCGCACTTAGACGAAAATAGAAACATAAAATGAAATGGAACAACGACTGCTCACTACTTTTCTCGGTGTAGGATGCCGTCTGTCGCCTCTACAGCGTCCCGCGCATCCCGCGCATCTTCAAATGTCTTGAAACAAAAACGAACACCGCCAAAATAAAGCAAACATGAAAGAGGAACAACTCGGCGCAGGAATAACACGATTAAAATAGCCTAGATCCCCATACCCCGAGGCACAACTACAGTGAAAGAGGCCGGCGGGACAGCGCACCACAAATGCAAACCCCGGTGGGTTCCTGGCAACCCAGATGTTGCTAAGTTTTCCATAGCGCCTGAATATTTCCTCTAGCTCAGATGAAGTCGACTCCGGGTCCAAGTTGCCTGAGGTGAAACCGTATACAAATAAGAGCTCTAAAGGACGATGTTGGAGTAATGGATAAAGACGTCGCATCAACAGGCACTCCGCAGTTAAACCCTTCTCGTTGTAAGGAAATCTTCAATCATGTGAAAAGGTAACCCACCCACATACACCTTCCTCCCTTGGGTCATCTCGTCGTCCATACGATGCATCTTCTCCTGACAGCACGCAGCCAGAACCTCACGCTAAAACTTACCCAGTAAGCAGCCAGACGCAGCAAAAACGCCCCCTTCAAAATCGGCGTGTCCGCCCGTTATTCGAACTGTACATGAAAAATTGCGAGTGCGTTTTTAAAGGCATAACGATTCAGGAGTCGCTGTGGCAGCAACGGAAGCCTCCAACAGGCCATCGCGTTCAGTGGATGAGCAGTGAAAAGCCACTCTCACGGCTGTGTTTTTGCAACAAAGTAAAAATCTTACTTGCTACCGTATACGGCTCTCTCCAAAAAGCCAGGTGTATGAAGACGCGCTTAATGTTGCAAAAGGAAATGGACGGTGAGTCGGACCGCCACGACCGCCAAAGTTGTCCACGGCTGGAATCAGGTCGCAAATTATTTTTTATCTTTTTTTATTGTAATTCATCACTGCTGGAATTCACTTTGATTTTCTTGCTGAATGGATGACAGAAAATAACTTGTTGGAACCCAGCCCTAGCAGCCCCACGCTGTGGCCCTTACGGCGCAGCTGTGATGGTGCGGCGATGGTTTTTCACTGTGGGAGTAACGTGTATGAATGAGGTATCTGATTAATTTCTTGTTCCCAGGTTATTGCACTGCGCAGAACTAGTAGTCTCCACAATTTTAGGCTCTTTTGGGGTCTCCCCGTAGGCGGCACTTGGTCCTGGCGTTGGAGATGTGGGTTGCGAATTAGAAATCTGAATCTACTTCGTTCCTTTCGCGGGCCTCTGCATGCGCCCTTTCAGTGTTTCTTTTTAATTGAGCACCCGCTTTAGCTTTAGCGTTTCTTCCCGCTTTCGAGTCAGCTAGGTCGTGACTGCCTCACAAAGATAAACGTTTATTTAATTTGTATGAAAATGTATACATATTTAATAAATTTAAATAAATCAAAAGCATATTTATGTGTACCTAGTTATTTATTAACAAAAATCTGGACGAGCAGTACATAGGTTGCCTTTCGATTTAGCTTTTAGCTCCCAGGAAGCCTTCGGCTTCTCGTAGGAAGGTATTGTTTTTGTGCGTTGGCTATTTTCTGTCCCGCTGAATTTCCGACCGCTTTCGTCCTCAGGTTATATAATCATAAGAGCAGCTTTGGCCAGTTGCACATCTTGCGGCTCCATGTGTGCATTTTTTGTTAGGCTCATTTTCAGAGCCGCAAGCAAACGCATGCAACACTTTTGCGCCTTCCTCGTGTTCGTTATGTAGCTGCAGTACAGTGAGTTTACTGGTGCATTAATCCTCGTAACGTAGTATTGCGGGGGTGAAACTCTTCTGCCATGCGTGAAACTTGGGGGTCCGCAGGAGCCCAGTAATATTGCTGCGTGTATCGTCTTAGCTACGTATCTGATGTATCTTTGACATGCGACTCGTTGGGTGGATAGATATTAGCTGTGGGTACTGGTGCAGCACAGGCCACTGCTGCTGTCAAGTTCCAGGTAGAACTAAGGGGTAGTCTCCTACGTCAAGGAACATTTGACAGAAGCCCAGAACTATTAATGTAGGAGGCCCTGACCAAACCTTCCCAGTCAGCACCACACGCCGCATTGTAGTGCCACTTCTGCAGGCAGTACAGAGCCAAAGCGCCTCTCAGCCAAGAATCCATCACTGCACTCAGCTATCATTTCTGCAGGCAGTAGAAACCGCGTTGCAATCAGAAAGTGATGCTCATCGCAGAGTGCTGGTGGGTGGTGCAGCTCCCTTGCTCAAGAACGTAGTAGCCTAAAGCTCCTTTCCGGTGGTTCCTTTGGAAAAAGTCAGCTTCAAGAGGCAAATACGTACAGAAACTGAGTCGACGTGGCATTACTTCGCTGTGAGGTTTCTGGCTGGACCTTCACAGCATAGCAAGAGCTTTGACTAGACCCCCAGCACCAGGCGAAAAGGATTATTTTTTGCTCAGCTTCCACTCAAACCGTGGTTTTATAACAGTACTGCGTGTTAGAAGCAATGTGTTGAGAGGGGGGAACAGGAAAGACGAAGGTAAAAAACATTTCATACCGGTCTATGCTCTTGGCATGAGGCCTCTCCAGGCCAAGATTCGATAAGGCTTCTCCCGCAGTGTCGAAAAGCCTTCACTTCTTTCAGTGCTCAAAATGAGGCACAATATAAAGCTACTTCTCTGTGCAACCTCTAAAATCTGCTAGTCCTCCCGTAGGAGATTGCTGCTGCAAAGAGCCTTTCCGGCTCTCTTAGTTGCGCAAGCAAATCTCAATCCATGTTCAAATGTTGACAGTTTTGCATAGCCTTCAAGATCTCTCTGCATGTTCACCTGCATTAAAAGGCTGTCAAACATAAAGCAACTCAACTCGCCGTAAATCATCGGTTCTCTAGCGTTTCGTGCTGTTCTGAAGAGCTTTAGTACAGGGTGCCATTTGTGATGGAGAGTTCAGTTTTCACTTCAAAGAGTGCCTGGTCTACAGTAAAAATATTCGAGAATACACTCCGTCTCCTGTTCTCTCTCCGCTTAGCAGCTGCTTCGCAGTTGCGTATCTGTCCTAATTGTTCGTTTTGTGCTGATGCGTGGCGAAAAATACCAAAATTTGAGCTGAGTAAATTCGTATATCCCAACATATCGTTATTGTACATTTTACTAGAGGTTACAGTATTGAGGCTATGTCCAAAGTAGGAATTGATTTAGGGCTTTTTCTCGCCAGCTTCTTGTGCTAGGTATACAGAGGCGAATAGAAAACGGTTGTATATATGCGAACAAACTTATAGCAGTACACATACTTGAAGACTCCTGGCTGCTAGGCATTGCTGGCGTGGTGGCATCCCCTAGACGCTGGAACTGTCCCCTGCATTGTAGTGCTTAGGCGGTGAGCTAAGTGCTCTATTCCTTTTGATACGTCGAGCAGTGCTTAACAGTGGCAGTTAAGTAGCGCGTACACTGCATCTAACCCCAAAACAAGCGAAACTTGACGTCAGCGTGCAAGGCGGATCCTCGGAACCTCCTTGTTGCGTTACTTCACTGGTGTCATCACCCTTTCCGTTCCCCTCATATTGTCTTAATACTGCAGTAGTGCACCATGTGCAGTGCCTAGAATGCACGCAACTACAATGTACCCGAGAGATGGCCTTCAGGGTCATAAAATGCAGAATAAGAACACTGGGGTAGTAAATAGAAGTGGGAAGCGTGCAAACAAAGAAACCCAATGCTCGAAGGAGATGGTAAGGTGTGTTATGCAGATACGCCCACAGTTTGGAGCTGGAGCCACTCATCGGCACCCCTTTCCACTTGAAAGAACTCCATGCACACGCTCTATGATGCTGTAAGCAGTGTTTACTCGATTGCACGACCCTATAATTTGTCGAAATCCTAAACGCCTTCGAGTTATGCCGACGCATCAGCCTACGCACAACGGGCGGCGCCTGGCTTCGTCAAAATAATCGATGCACTAGCGAGAGCATTTTGCCGTATTCATCGTCCAGGACAATAATGGTCTCTTACTGCGCGCCGCTAAGATTACGACGCATAACGGTTATTAGATCCTTACTCACCTGCAGGAGCTCAGTTTGTCGAAGCCTTTAAATAGTCATATTTCTCGAAAGTTTCGTTTAAAGAGCTCACAATCACATTACTTGCAAGATGCACAACTAGGCGGCTGATGCAGTGCCACAGAAAACTGGCTTATAACAGTCTCAGGAGACAAGCACACTAAGCAGCGATTGGAGGCAAAAGTATCCGTGAACTCCGAAAGCCCGGCAGTTTGCAACCATCTTTAACTGCTTCCACGAGCAAGAGCCCATATCTCTTCCACAGTCGCTTTTCTTGGTGCAACTTCTTAGTCACTAGCGTTACAAATTTTTGCAGCGCCATCATCAACGCTCGCTACAGCAGGAAAGGCCCCATTTTCTTCGCACGCATAGGTCTTGGCTTATGAGCACTATCCGATCTTCCGCGAGTGGTGCATTGCTGCAGCTTACCAAGTAGAAGAAGAAACCAGTGCGTCGCGCAGCCGCCGCCTATTTCCTTTTCTAACTGTCTTATCTGCGGATCTGCACTCATAGCGTGTGCCGATCCTACCTAAATGTCTTACGCGGGTGCTCCACAAGCACCATGATCCTGCGACAGCTGGCTATTCTGGCCAGGCAGAGACCATCATAGTTTTCCCCAAAAATTTTGCTGGCTCGGCATGCGTACCTATACTACAGTATGCTGGAAATCCAGCTCTACTCTCGCCTCCCCAAAAAGTCAACCAGAAAGATCCCTTCAGCCGATAACGCTGGCCATTGTCTCACGTTATTACAACCACGCCAGTCTAGATTTAGTAAGTAGCCTGCTTCTCACTATCCCGGATCATGGCTCCATTTTTGTGCTCGTGAATTCTCTCAGCACATTGGCTCATTTTATTCCCACGAAGACGATATAAGCTAGCACCGTTCGACTCTTTTTGTGTACCTTATTCTCAGAAACTGCCCCTATGGCTCATGGCCCTGGAGCTACTTTCAGCTGAACATGCCCCCTAAGTCCTGCGTGCGATGACACTTGAGCGAAGGAGGCACTCGCAGCGGAGGCGTCCAATCGGGGAGGCTCAACCGTAAGGACGGATTGCCTTGTTGCCCTGAGTAGTTTGGCCTTTCTCATCATGCCAGGGGTTAGTTAACCCAGTGCACCGGGGCATAGGCCTGTTGACATCGGCTTGCAGGCCTCGTCTTCACAGCACAAGAAAGTCACTAGAGGCTCAAAACGGCTTACTTTATAAACCAGTATTAACTAGCCAATAGCACCCTTGCTCACCACACACTTAAGAATCAAAAATGGCTAATCTAACCAAGGCAGTCAAGGCACTGCCAACTAAACGGTTTTGAGTCCAGTCAAGCGAGTCGTAAGAGGTAGATTTCTCTGTTATTTCATGAGCAAAGTAGTCTACCGAGATCTCTGGCCCCGTAGACCATGCACCGTTGCATACGAGAGACCAACTCTTGACTCGTGTGATAAAATAGTGCGATAAAATAACTAACCCATTTGTTTTGTAGCTC